AAAGCTGCGGTTTTTGATAAATAAATAATTATAACGGACTTGGTAAACGCTGCTCACGTAATCTAGAATGGTTACAATGTAGCCAAAGGTCTGCTCTATATAACAATTACCAGCACTCTCTGGAAACATCAGAATAAAAAATTCTAAAATTCAGGAAAGATTTGACGTTACTGCTGAGCTGCTCAAAAAGTCATAGCGATAACATTGCAAAGACAGAGTAGATTAAAGAGCAAGTATAACTGTAAGAAAGAGAATAAAAATCTGAATCAAATGGTTTTCAGGCCGTCCATGGATCGGTGTTCTGTAAGTTTTAGTGAGCGGTGAAGGAAACTGACAAAACTTTCGAGACAACCTAATATTGCAATACACCCAACAAAAGTGACAAAAACAAGGAGTAGAACAAAAAATATAAACTCTGAACGAACTTGATGATCAATCCCATTCTCTTATTTGTGCTAAAACTTTGCAAGAAGTGGCATAACATCAAACTTGTTATCATTTTTTTGAAGACCAAATACGTGTTTCAAAAAAACTTGATATACTGTAATCATAGACGCTTGAAAACAAGTCATTTGCATGGATCTACAGCGACACCTGTCGGCTAGTAAAGAAAACTTCACGGATCAATCGAATAAATGCTGCCATACTAAATAGCTGCTATAGGACGAGGTTTTCGAGAAAAACAAGTATGAGTTTTGAAATTGTTCAAAAAAAAAAAGAACAGCTTTTAGGCACTTGTTACTGGACAATTCTTTTTGTTCGGCTGAAGTAAGTTATACCTGATGGCAAGACAAAAGCATCTGTTCTTTCAGACATCATGTCAACAACATTGCGCTAAGTTACGACTAAGAAAACACTGAGTGTTCCGGTTCTGCTGCGTTTTCACGCAGCAGCACTGTGCTCGGATTCGGCTAGGGGATATATCACCAGAGACTTGTATAGTTTTATTGTGACAATTGAGTCTTTTTGTCAAAACTTGTAGTAAATGATAATTGAACCCAGGGGATTCATTAATGAAATTTCTGGCAGGAAACTCACAGTTTGTCTCCGAAAAGCACAAGCTTGCTATTACGTACTTTTATTTTATGGGGAACAAGTGAATTTTCTAGCAAGTAAATCGTGTTTATTCGAAATGGGTTTTTCAAATGGGATATAGAGTCAATGGACAGCATGAAACGCTGATTACACATCTGCCTTCCTAATTTTCGGAACGTTTATGGACGAGCCATAAGTTTCTACTAGAGTTAAAAATTTTAGTTGCAAAAATTATGCAAGTAGGACAAAAATAGTCGTAATATTTTTTTAGCGCTTAAATGGAGCAGTAATGATTATCAACGTACTTTATCAAATAAATGCTTTAAGATAAAAAGAAGTGGATTACACTTAATTGCTTTATTCGAGGGCTAGTACGATTTTGGCAACTTACCCATCTAACCTACTGCGCCCGTTTCGCTCTCCTCTCAACACATTCACGACAAGACTGTTTTTTCGATTACTGCCGTTTCGCGCCGGAGCCTTTTTCGCCTTGTCAAACTTACGACCCACCCGTGAGTCATGTTGTCCGAAATGGTAGTTTTTTTTAACAAGAAATTCAAAACATCTCTTCGAGAATATCCCCACAAGGGTTATCGAAGGCGCTGATTACCAAAATATGAGTTATTTCAGTCTTTGGTAGTATACGGTAGGGTTACGGTGGTCATTCTGTGCGAACCCAACATCATTGACTTTCATGAAAAATTGTTTTTTGGGGGTTATTTTACGTGCTGATCACGATTATAGTGTCCACTTTGTTCACTACATTCACACTGTGGGACTAGTAGCAGCACGGTCGAATTTTCTTGAGAATCAAGAAACTGATGTAAGAAGGTGGTATTAAAACTTGAGACTACCATTTTCATAATCAGAATGCTAAAAAGCCTACATACGTAAGGTCTGAGCTTCCTGGGATGAAGAATGCGAAAAATCAATAAAATTGTCAGCAAATTTTGATGAACTGACATCAGTCTCATGCCCTCCCTGTACTTGTGCATGTAAACTTGAATTGTCAAAAAAAGCACCACCCTGCGAAAAATTTGAGCTAAAGTCTGTGCCTTACTTCTATCTACGGTATACCTACCGTAACTTTACCTTACAGCATCCCGAACGCGGATCACTCTAACTGGAGCTTCGCCAAGATGTTTCCAATTATGTGCTAGAACCCCTTAGAATTCCATCGTATAATGGCAAAGCTAGGGCTTCAGGAATCTTACGACCCACCTGTGGGTCGTATTGTCGCGAATGTGTTAAGAACCATTTGCTTTCTCAGAACAAAAAGTTAAACAATCACGAACATTTTCAGTTTGCCGTGACAATGTACTCATGCGTCTTTATTATAAAAATTACAGGAATTGTGACATTACCCACACAAAAAAGATAATTTTTTCTCATTATTTACGTTAGGATAGCGATCAATTCCAAAACAGTATCTTATATATAAAAAATGTCTGTTTGTCTGTCTGTCTGTATGTCTGTATGTCTGTCTGTCTGTCTGTCTGTACGTATGTTCCGAATAGAAAATTCCATTTCTGAACCGATCCGGACCAAACTTGGCACACATACACTTCGGGCCCCGGCGGGTGTCACAGTCCACTTTTCGTTATCGATTGATGCCGATTTTATCGATTTTTTGCAAAATCTGAGCTACGGGGCTGGGACCACCCCCGTGGGGGTGATCAGCATGCTCGATTACACCCCCTGCCAAATTCCAGCCCCCTAGCTCAAATTTTGCAAAAAAGATAAAAGTAATGCACGGTTTCGAAAACTAATATTGTATTCGTAATCAGCATGCTCGATTACCCCCCTGTGCCAAATCCAGCCCCTTAGCTCAAATTTTGCAAAAAATCGATAAAATCGGCATCAATCGATAACGAAAAGTGGACTGTGACACCCGCCGGGGCCCGAAGTGTATGTGTGCCAAGTTTGGTTCGGATCGGTTGAGAAATGGAATTTTCTATTCGGAACATACGGCGGAGCCGGGTATGCCAGCTAGTATTTTATAAGAATAACAAGCATTTTCAAAAAACAAAGGAAGAACAAATTTACAATTACATACATCATAAGAAGTCGTTTAATAATATAAGCAAATTTATTTATTAAATTCACAAAGGAGATCGTCCCGAGTAGTAGTGTCGTTGACGTTGCTTGCGAACACTTCAAGCTGCGGGTAAATGCTGCGTATTTCCTTTTTGCCTTTTATGATCATGTATTTATCAAATGTTCTGTTGAATAATCATTATATTCGTTGCAGTAAATCGTGTATGTTTTATTCCTTTATTATCTTTCCTCAAATTTCTGATAGCTAGTGATAAGTGATAGATGACAAATGATAATGATAAGTGATAATGATAAATGATCAGTGATAATGATAAGTAATAAGAAGAAGTGATAAAGATAAATGATATTGACAAGTGATAATTATAAGTGATGACGATGTGTGATAACACTGATAACTGGCTAATGAAAATCAATAAACTTTACGCCTCAACCTAGTTTTTGTTTGCAGTACAAGCAGTGACCAGTAGTTTGTCTTTCCTAGACATCGTTCGCATTTGTTCTTTTCGTATGGGCGTTGCCTACGACCTGATAAGGTAGTATACACGTGGCACGCTGCAGCCCAGTGCTGGCTACACAAAAAACAAGCATCGAGGTGCATTTTGATTACTCTGCTGATTTCCATGTCAAGATGGTCCTGGTTGAAGTGAAGGTGTTCATTCTTCTACCATTTCCTTAGGTGTTCTTTGACGTTAAGTTAATTTCTTCAAAGAACGCGTTTGTAAGTGATGGCTGCCTTCTGATTCTTGAAGTTCATTAGCCATCTCTTCGTAATTGTCTTCGAATATTTTTGTTTTTGTGACGTCTATCTCTCTCACTCAGTTTTTTTTTCAACTTAAACACTAGTCTAAAGTCACACTCTTTATTTTATCAAAGTCGTTTCCATCTGTTCCTTCATTCGTTTGATTTTCTTTCCATTGAGGTAGAAGCCCTTGCTGTGGTATGGATGCGGGAGGATTCGGTTCGTCGTATAGCTTGTGCACATTTACTTCGACTGGTCTCTGCCACTAGGTGGTGGTAGTGGTTGGTCGCCCATATGCTCTCCGCCTATATTCTGCTCATGATTGGGTTGTGACATATTTGAAACTGCTGTAATTGATTACTAATATGTTTTGCAGAATAATTACGCGTGTCCGAAGTAGGTCAATAAAGTTTTGCAGTGTACGAGAAGAACATTTGAAAATTAGAAACGGAATCTTAAAGAAAAATTTGAGAAGCTCAAAGCGAAAGGCAGCCACTCGCAATGGCAAAATCGAGCTAATGGGAGTCGATGTCAATTTGATTTTGTTTTTAGCTTTGTTTCCGTTCGAAGCTCGCACTTGCTCAGATAGATCGCGCTGATAACTAGCAAGAATGTCAGCGCTGTTGCTTATTGTATACAGCACGTAGCTTTTGTAAGTACCGAGAATGTGTGAGAAATCAGGAGATTCAAAATTGAAGAAATCATTGCCTTTTGTAGTATTATTCCATAATAATGATCGTATAGTCGTTTACATAATAATGGTTGTATCCCATTATACAATTGTTTTCCATATAAGAAATCAAGCATTGTTCGTCACACTTTACTTCGCACTGTTCTTTTCTGTGCTGTGTTGAAGTAAAGGCGAATGTTGTTTTCTACACCTTCTTGAGAATAAAGTGTGACTTACATTTACCTGAGTTACAGCTTGTTGGATATTCGCGTAACACGTTTTACCTTGGCTACTATTCAGTACAACTTTTTATGTCGAGACTGAGTTAAGTAAAATTACCAATAAAAGATACAATGTATAGAATGACATGTAACTAATTAACCTAAGTTCCTCAGCACAATGAACAATCTAATATCAAACCAATGTAAAAGATCCCAAAACATGAATGACAGATGGAAGAGTGCCTTCTGAAAAAAAATCAAAAAAGACTTGAAACAGTCAACATAATAGGAAAACAAATGGCTTTACTAATTTCATTTCCTTTACATACCGTTGATACGTAGAACGACCATAGGCAGCTGCTAAATAAAAAAACAAAGTCTATTCATGAGACAAACCTTATCAGAATATATCATGGAAAAAGCCGGGCAAGATAGATGTAAATTTCAACTTCACAAGGCATACAGTTGAATCACTAGATTTCCTCCACATAAGCGCATGGTCTTGCAAAAAGGAAAATTCAAGTTACTATGGCATTTCTCGAGACATCGGCTCAGCATTTACCCTTAATCTGTTTATTGCAAAGTAGAGTATGTTACAGTCAGCATTCAAGCAACAGAATGCCTTACGGCATCGTGAGAAGTTTTAGGCGTAAAAGCATTTGTAGTCAACACCGTAGACAGCTCACTGTCTTTCCGCACAGGGAAGTTTCGGGTGTAATTGTAGCACAGCTTGATGACCATCAATAGTATGCCAGCACATGTTACACACAGTCCTATGAAGACCACTCCATCCCTGAATGATATGGATTAGGCAGGCAATAACAATTTTTCATTAATTGAGATTCCTGCGAACTGGGATTTTTTTTTTAAAGCAGTTCACCATAGAAACTTGTTTACAATAAATGAAGATCTATTTATGCTTGTTGCACCTCTACATATTAGCATGATATAAATTAGCATAACGGTAGCGCTTTCATGGTAGAACGTACAGTGAGATGCGTTGCACAGATGTCAACTGGGAGGGAAAAGAGGGTTGTGGTAGTATTGTACTGGATTTTTTGCACAGTGTTAGCAAAATTTGAAATTACAACTAACCCTTACAGTCGAGTTATTTGTAACTTGATGTGAAGCAACGAGTCGCGGGGTTTTGCGATTTAGAGGTTTTACTCAAAAGAAAAAGAAAAGGCTTTCAAATTGGGAAGACACTTTCAACATCGGCTATCTTTTTTTTGGAATAGCATACAATATATTTTAGAAAGGAATAGAGAAAGCTCGTTTCAACTTGCGCAGAAAAAGGTAAAGGGGTAATTTTGAAGATCACGCGCCAAACCTTAATTTGACCCGGTAATAGTCATGATGAGTTTGTTCTTTGCTCTGCCCTCGACCGGTCGTCGTTTGACCCCTCCACCACACTAGCCGAAAAATGCACTAGCCGAAAAATGAAGGACCCCTTGGTTCAGGAACAGCAGGAAATACGTTCCACCCCAAGCGCAGTCGATATCACACGCGGCGTACAAAAGAAGAGGGAACATCCAAGACGAAGAAGAAAGAAGAGAGAGTTTGACAGCATGTATGAAAACTACGTTTGAGCATGGATCATATTTGAGTGCCTCATACTGTGAAAATATTGGTAAGCAAGTAACTATTGAATATGTAGATACAGTGGCGGACCGTAGGCCTCCCCCCTCCCCGAGAATGGGTGCGAAATTTTTGGAATTTCCTCAAGTGACCTAAAAAATATGCAAGTGACTTTTATTCTTATAAATAACTGTAATAATTTTTGAAATTTTTTGAAAAATTAAACTAGCCTTATAAAAACGCTTTTTTTCTAGATTCTAGAGATTACGGATCCGCAAAAGTCTTAAGAAACACTCCAAAGAAATTTGCGAAGTGCGTGGTTCACGCCACGCACATTCATTTGAAAAGAACTTTTTTGTGTGGAAGTAGGGGGTCTGCTAGTAGAGTTTGACTCACCAGAGCGTCACCATAGCTTGAAGCGCGTTAGGAGATTCAGATATATTTCAACTGACTGCGACGTTGAGCAAAATTCGTGATTTCAATGGACCATTCAAATAGCAAATGACCTTATAGTTTGCAATATGTCATATACGGCATTAGATCTCTAGTTAAAGATAATTTTATTCTTGTTGTTAATCTTGGGTCACGGATAATTGAGGATGCCTCGAGGATCTTTCTTGCGGATATGGTAAGCTTCCGACAACGGCGCTGTGCCGAAATGTTAAGTTGTTACCTGTAACAACGTGTACGGCAGAAGAAAAGTATTGGAAGTACTTATTTACCACAACATGCCCAGGTCCCAAGGTCATAAGACGTACATAGTCTTAACAACAGCGATGATTGCTTTAAGACTTTTACGTGAACGCAAACATTATTACATTTTTTTGTGAATCTGGAGCTATTATCTGATAATCACTAAAAGTTGTGAGAGATCTGAGAGTGTCGAAAACTCCTAACTAAAAGTAATGGCATCTAGTTTTTTACTGCATTGCTTACGCCAACTGGTGAAGCATGCAGTATGTGAATTTAGCTCTGTAAGATGTGGTCATTTATTTTTCGGCATTATGACAAAAGCTGCCAATGTTGCGATGTTATTCACTTTATGAAAGTAAGTAATAGAAAAATCCTGCAATTTTAGTGAACTTGGGAGATAGTCAACAGCAAAAATCCGATTGCATATGGGACATCTACACGTTATAGGAGCTTTAGACAAATAGTTACTAAAGGCTGATCAGTATTCGGCAAAGAATAACGCCCTTGTTCATCTATTTGCTTCTTTAAGAGGAATTAGAAAACTCAGCTGCCAATATTCGTACTCCTCAGAAAATCTCTGAGCAATTTTTCCCTTAAGTAAAGACTTACAACATTTGCACGCCACAACATCTCATGCATTCGATGACATCAAGAGACCCCTTTCTTTTGCTATCGCTTCCTATGGCATCATCAAATCAAAGCGTGCAGACTTCTCTTTCCTGCAAAAGCTGCGCCGTCCTTAGCAGCAAAGAGCACAAACAAATATTAGTCTTTAGATTCATTAGTTAGAACTTTTGCACAAGTTTTGCAGCCATAGTGGACGTTTACGTTATTACTTTGTACCTCAACTCAGGAAAAAAGCCATGATGTTGACGAAATGCAAAGCATCAGATAAATCACTCTAGGTAAGTTATATGAAGTGACCATCTCGAAGACTTCCGTTAAAGCACAATGGCGTCATTTGCAATATGACGTGGTACATTTTCTGACTTCGAAAACCAATTTGTTTCTCCACTTTTCTTCGGGTTAGAAAAACTCACAAGCTTGATTGCTCAACATGATCCACGCCAGAATTCGTTGTAAAATCACGATGATGTTTGTGATCGAATGAGCCGTTCATTCCAATGTTCGATGACGCCCTTGCACGGCCACGAGATGCAATGCGTTGATAAGCGGCAAAGTGACGCTAGAAGTGAGTAAATTACAGACATTCTGGCCCTGGATCTGACTAATGGATACAATAACAGGTGAAAATCGAGAAATGCAAACTAGTACAGGAAACAGAATGATTGATACAGTAGGTTGACAACGAAGGCAGATCATATATAACTTTCTATTGGGTCGCGTCAGTCTAGGACTTTGACACTACTAGTAGCAAACCCTTTCTAGCAGATTACAGAAAGTGATAGTCAATAAGTTCCAGACTCGAGGAAGCTAACAATTATCAATTTCTTACTGAAAAAAAACCTGTTATGATAAAAGCTGTTCACAATTATTTCATTACCAACTTGATGATCATAACGGCTAACAGGATTTGGCAGAGCTGTCTTTAACCTCTATCTCCCTTATTACAGAAAATTTCCAAATTTAGTGTTTGCCAAAAACAGCTTTGAAATTCTAATAACAAAGCTATTTACTTTTAAGCTCCAAAAAAAGTACGATCTTGGAGTGAATATAGAATTTGGGTGAGGATGCATTTCAACTCTTACAAAGAAGAAAATCTGCGCTTCAAAGATGAAGAACTTTTGGCTAGAAGTCAACGTACGAAAAAGTCGTAGTATTCAAAAGCTGGCTGAAACATTGGAGGGGTTTCGACATTCTAGCTTGCTTCTTTTTCCCTAGGGACATTCTAAGGTAGTCGCACCTTTCTCGCACTACTAATCACCTTTCACAATGGCCAAGCTCCGAGGCTGTAAGCAACTCATGCACTTATCGGACACTCAACACAACTGATAATTTTGCGGATAAAAAAATTATAGCAAAACTTTACTGCAGAATTTTTTTCAAGGATTAATGTTCAAAACTAAAAACATTTCTAATTATTCAGTTTTCAACACCATCTTCAGAAAGATAAACCAATGGGATCGAGAGAGCGGGAGAAAGATAAACTATTTGGCGCACAGTACTTGCTACTATTTACTGCTGTAAATGCTTATGTAGCCGTAGCTGAAAAGCGAAAAGACATCCTTTTGTTTGCCTGTTAATTGTCGGAGGTCTGGTTTTGTGGTAATTGAAAGTATGAGGAACGTGTGAGTGCTCTGAGATGTCCCTAGAGAAGATGTGTTTTCAGTGGATTCTGGTACTTCGCCGAAGGCATTATCTACTTGTATACTGCTGGCATTGTCATAAATCCATTCTAAAAATCATCATATTTTTATCTCTATATATATTTTTAGCAGGAATATTGTAGACAGCATGCTTCCCGACTAGCAAGGGAGTAGTGAAAAGTTGAAAAGCCAATCCGGACAAGCTGCATACTATTAGATGCAGCATAAGATGCTGACTCTATGTCTGTCTTCCTTACCTGCTGAACATCTCTGTAGAAGAAGTTATACGCAATTAGAGACCATTACTTTGCCAGGAAGTTGTGCGTGCAAAGTGAAATTTTTGCCGTATAGAGCCATGTTCTGCTTAATGCGCTGAAACACGCAGCTAAGTTACATCATATAGCCGTTGCCAAAGGTGAGCTAAGAAGGCAATAATGTGCTCATTTCGCGATTTCTATGTATGATCTTTCGCGATAAAACGCTCATAACTTCCCTTTGAAGTCGTCCAACAGATACGAAAAACAAATTTCAAGTCGACGTTGTAAGCTTCTGAATGGTATGCAGATTGTTTGGATTGGCCACTTTAACTTCTAATCATTCGCTTTTGAGAATTGTGCGCCACACTTATGTTCTCACCGCGGACTGTTTTAGATAACATTTTGAGCGGACACTCTGGCCCTTCCTTCTATAGTGGTTATATGACTTTGCAATGGAAACGATATCAACTGCTAGTAAGCCATTTTCGCGGGTTTGTGTAAACGACAGCAGTAGAGGTTATCGGCTTCTTGATGATAATGCGATGAATCGAGAAACCCTCCATCTTTACCACGCACGCTATATGAAGGCATATAGCGCGTGAGGTAAAGACATCGGACAAGGTTGATGGTTTTAAATTTCAAGGTGCGAAAGAGGGTCCCATCGTGCAAATGCGAGGCCATAATGTTTGACCAGAAGCATGAGATACGGTCGAAAAGCTGGGGAGCTGACTTCTTGCATTTTCACCCATGGATTTCGTGCTCTACGGCAGAATGTGCATGCCGCCACAGCATAATTTAGCACTTGTGGGGTCCCGCAGCGACGCTGCTTCTCAGTCTTGTCGGAAACTGTTTCACTCGCCAAAAATTGAGATTATAAGCTCTCAGACATTCGCAGTTAAGTCCCGCCGGAGATCCCCCACAAAATGAGAATTCGCGAGAAATCGGGAGTCTTGCGCGACACCCGGTTTTGTCCCGACTATCGGGATAATCCCGACACAAAAAATGAAGCGGGAGAAAACCGGGAGTCGCGATCTCGGGGCGAGCTCCCAGTGTCTGAGCGTAAAGGAGACTTGCGTGAAATACGACGCATGGTCAGACTACCCTCAATGTCCACAACCTTGGATGTGTTCCATTCTTACAGGCAAGAACACTATCAATATGTTGTCCAACGGACAACCTTTGATAGGATCTTGTCGTTATTCAATCTTGAACTCGGACTTGGTTTCCGAAGCTGCTGTACGGTGGCTTTAATTGATTTTTGTATATGAGCAGGAGTCCCGCCGGTGACCGGATCGCGACACTATCGGTACTCCCGCAGGAGCTCCCGATTTTCTTAGTAGAAAACATGTCGGGACAAAAGTGCGTGTCGCGCAACATTAGCCCGAACGAAAACCGGGAGTCCCGGTTTTTTCGCGAACCATTTTACTTGTGTCCCGCAGTCATTCGCGGGACACAACTTTTTCACCGGCGGGACTTAACTGCGAATGTCTGAGCTATGAGAGACGCATATTCTCGTCCTTTTCATGTTTTTTAAAGTGCATTTCTAATTCAGAGTCGCGGATAATCCTACGTAAGTAGGTTTGCTAGAAATCGGGTTTTTAACCCGGACACTGCCTTCATCGTTACAGGGATCCTTGTAGGGCAACAGAAAAATTAAGTGCGGGAAGAGGGGAGGGAGCAACCGGGAAAAGGCTTTCAAGCATGTTGGAGGAGGAAGGGAAGCCGGAACGGTTCGGTTGAGAAAAGATACTCTCATCTTAAAATTCGAAGATATGTCAAATTCTGTGCTGGACCGATTCGAGCTATGATCTAGGCGAGAGCAGGAAAGCCAAGTATTTGTTAATAGAACTGTTCATAATTGTATTACTTGCATAGACAACGTATAACTCAAAACCGCTTCTGAGTTCGATTTAGTTTCGAAAAAAGAAGGAAATTCGGACTTTCGTATAGACGACTGCACACTATCATATAACAAATATATCATATATATATATCATATATATATCATATATATCACTACGAAAAATCCAGAGATGAATAATAAAAACGAGTGTTTATCAATAACTTCTGACTTCCTCCCGTTCGTATCATTGATCTGTGACTGTAGATCATCTTTGGGTATCTACAGTACGATTCACTCGTCTGCCGCGACCGTCTATTTCCGGTGCAGACTACTCGAGTAGTGGTGGTCTTCCGGTATGTCCTGCTACACTGACATTTTATTTGGTAGCGAGATTGTGAGAAGGCCGAGAACTAGCAGAGCGGGAGGAGACGCTTGGTGGTCTGGAGTTACGGATAACACTCAGAACCATTCAGGCCTCGGAGGAAGACGAAAGGCGTCGAAACGTAAGGCCGTGATTGGAAAGAAATGAAGACCACTTCTCAAACCTGTTTGGCACAATAGAAAATTGAACTTACGACAAATGCCAAGGTTTCATGAAAACGGAACTTGGAAGTTATTATATAACACTTATTTTCTGAAATGGTATTTAATTCTCAAATCTTTTGCACGGCTTGGTCTCAAAGTTTGGAAAATCTGCGACGACTGGGAGCTGTCGCCTACAAAAAGAAAGGAAGTATCGCATTTCATGTGAACTCGTCAGAAGTCCGCTAAATTTGAGCTGAGCTGATCACTTACAAAATTTGCATGGAACTGTTCTAAAATCGGAGGGCATTAAGTTGAAATGGCAGAAAAAGTATCAAGATTCAAGGCTAAGGCAGTCACTACTCCCAACTTATCGCATGGAAAGCATGTCACTATTGCACTTTTGCGAAAGCCTAGCAATAACTACAAACTCATGCAAACAATTTATAAATTTGCGAAATTATGCTATTTGCGAAACCGATCCAAGCGCCTACCTTCCAAGGGAAGATCGCCAAATCGTATTGGTTGATTTAGATGTGATTTATATACAAACTTGAGGCCGGGGATATAGTATCAGACGTGCATTGAAGTTTTGGCGCAATGTCTACAGGTGTCATGGTTATACCAAACGTAGCCGATAAGGTGTACTGGCTAATGTCTGAAACTCACATGTGACCGGTGCCATTCAAATTCTGTTTGGTGCAAGTTTTTTCTCATTTTTTCAAACTCTGGTTCTTTACCTGCTTCGCGTAAGGGCGATAATGACATTTACGGCTTATCATTCTGATCCGTTAAGAAGAATTTTTTAACAAACGGTTTAATAACTAGCAAATTTTCTAGTCAAAATCTTGTTCGTGCATAAATTTCCTAAAGAAAGCAGTTACTGGGAGCATAAGGGATCGTTTTTGACTAAATGTTTGAGCACATATCTGTATACAAAAAAAGCTGAGTGTGTTCATCTGTCGGTCTATCTGTGTACCAGTGGCGTACCGAGGGGGTGGGGCGGGGGGGGGGGCGCCCCCCCCCCCCCCCGAGAATGGGTCGCGAGATTTTTAAAAGTTACTTATATGGGTTATAAAAATGTGTAAGTGACTTGTTTATTTTTGGAAATAATTAAAATAATTTTTAAAAATTTTTAAAAATTCAAATTAGCCTTGTAAAAAAATTTTTTTCGGGGGCGTAGCTGACGCCACGCCCCCTTTTTCCAGATTTTAGGGGTCGGGGACCCGAAAAAATTTTGGGAAG